TTATTATATATATATATATAATATTTTGAAATTTCCAAAGTTTTACGGTAAGAGACATAAACTTATTTTAATAGTTTTTTAAACTAAACCCTGAACCTTTTAAAAAAAAATCATGTCATTACATTATTTATAAAAACCTTAAAAAACATACTTGTTAATTATTTCAGCAGAGTCATATATCTTTCATAACACAAACAAATACATGAAAAAGGCCAAATATTTCGAAAAGCTTTCCTTTGAAACCAGTCAAAAATTGTTACGTACCAAAGAAAACCAGTCACAAATAATTGAGTACGGTGGTCGACACACTAACCTACTTCTTATGGCACTATCAATTTCGAAAGTGTGGATATTAGCAGATTTGCCATGTCGTAAAACTTTATATATATTTCTTGTTAATGGAGATCACTAATTTTATTCCTTCAATTGGGGGGTGGGGGGTTTGTTAATAATTTAACATTTTTCATAGACAATTTTTCTAGCTATATGTCATGCATTATCTTTCATTATTATTATTTTTATCTCTATTACTTAAAAAGGGAGGTTTTGACTTCCTTAGTCTTGATTAGAAGAGTTTAAGCTCTAATGAAATACGTCTTAAAGAAATTGATGATTATTTTAAATATATCGAGATATAAGAAATGCATCCGAAAAATCCATCATAATGGACTTTAAAATTTATACATTATTCTAAATACTTATCAATTAGACAACTATTAAATGTAGATGAACATTATAAATATTTGAAACGGAGCAATACAAGTACAGCTAGTAACAACTAACAAATAAATAGTTTATATGTGGTCTATAAAATTAAACACATTAAAAATATTTAATGTTGTTACACTGTTTTTCCATCATTCTTACTTCACTTTTTTCCCAACAAATGCAGCACATTAAATTATATAGATATATTTTGCTTCTACACATACGAAGTACATATAATATGTATAAATGTTTGTAATATCCAAACTACAGACAAAGACCTAAAAAACCAAGCATCAAAGTGCACAATAATAATCGTTGGGTGTTTCAGAATGCAGAACATGTTATTGAGGAAAAAGAAAATAAAAAAAAAATATTTATAATTAAATAGTGTAAAATGGATTTAGGTAGTAGTAGGGTTTGATGTCGGTGGAAAGTTGAAAGTTCGAAAGGAGAAATGATTGGAATGGCATAGCTATAGGACCTTTGAGCCTTTCTTTTGGTTGGGTTCCCCTCTCAACACGGACCAACCAACATCATTGACCCCACAAACACAAGCTTAGACAGACAAGTGGTTTTCACTTTTCTGTCTTTAGTCTTCCTAATCATCGTCATCAGAGACCCACAATTACTACTATAATCGCCCACACTTCCCCTATTCAATTGACTTTTGTTTATGTCCCACGCCACCCATTCATTTCAGTAAAATAAATTAACAACATTATTTCACCTCTTTCTAATGCTTTCTGCTCTCTTTTCTGATTTTCTCTCCCCCAACAAGATACAAGTTGACACTATCATGTTATAAATTAAGATATACAATTTGAAAAGTATAACATTGCAAGAGAAAAAATTTCACAATCTATACACATTCAGTTATTACAATATTCTTTTTTTAATGCGTTTTATGTATTATTTTTATAATGAGTCAAAAAATATCTTTCAATTATTTCAATTTTTTTCTTTTTTGCTTTTACTTGAGAAAAAGGGACACTATGTATCACTATTTTTTAAAATAAATTTAAATAAATCTTGTAATGGATAATTACATAAACAATTATTTAAAAAAATAAAAAAAAATTGAGACGTAAAAGATATTATAAGAAAAAAAAAGTTATTTAGAGTTTTAGGTAAAATAAAACAAGAGTAAAATGATTCATTTAAAAATATAGATGAAAACAGTTATCGAAAAGATATCCCTTTATATAATAGTATAATTTATATACTTAACATTCTCATCGTTTATATTTCTTAATATGTTGTTTTTTTTATCTGTCTTTAAATTAAATATCAACAATTTTCTTAAGAAAATTGTTAATAGTAAACATGATATTCTATCTTAATTGAAGTTAATTATTTTAAATGGAAAATATAATTTTTTATATTCAAAAATAATTATTTTTTAAAAATTTAATTATATAAAAATATTTATTATATTTAATACACATTAAAATTCTAATTAATTATAATAAGTAGACTAGCTATTTTACTATTTAAAAAGTTTTATCCTACAAGGCATTATGGATCATCTATAATGTAAAAATTTGAGAGCCATTATTAGTTGCATCGCATAATGGATACTTTCATTTGATAGCTTCTTCAATTGTACAAAGCTATCTAGAATTCTATTGTGAATAAAAAAGTAGCTAGTTAAATGGAAAGAAAATGCTTTTTGTGCTCTTACTTTGGGCGATGGGATTTGATATTTGCGTGAAATAGTATCAAATATATAAGATATTATTTGTTGGGTGGGCATATAATTTCACAATGGAAAGTTACTATTTGGGACTTGAGAGATGGATATAGAATAAGGAATTAATAAATGCATGTTGACCTGCTTGTAGCTAACTTTTTATTTTTTTTTAATATTTATATCATTATAGGTAATTAGGAGATACTTCTTTTGGAAAGTGTCTTAGTTTCTATTTTTTTAAGGATTTTTTTCTTTCTATTTTATCAAATATCTACATTATTTTATTTTTTTGAGTATCAAAATTTTACTTGCAGCATAATTATTTCTTTTAATTAAATTTTTTTATCATTCACAATAAATAACTATGTGGACTATATATTTTTTTTTATATAAAACACTGTTTTTTATTATTTAAAATATAAAAATATGAATTGTCTCGATTAGATTAATTACTAATAAACAGATATTTATTAAAAAAATTGGTTTAATTTAAAGAGAGATTCATTGATTTGACCATCCGGTTTGTAACGTTTCATTTATGTGAGCTTTTTCGGCATGGACTTCTTTTTATCCATATATTTCGGCATGGACTACCACGTGTTTCTCTTATTCGAGGGATGTAATTCATAAAGCATCAATTTTATTACTCATGTTAATATTTTTTTTTTAAAAAAAGTATTAGATGAACCTAATATAATTAATGTTGAGTCAGACGAAGCAATTTCCAGCAAGATTTTGAATGAGACAAATATAATACATGTTGTTATTTCTAATAAGTGTGTTAATGTTTCAGAAAAATATAAGTACATGCAAAATGAATGTATAACTTCCCACACCAGAACTAAAACAAAGGGTAAAAGCTACAAGGCATCAGATGAAGAGATCAAACGAAGCCAAGCCCAAGTACAAGAAGGAAAATAATGAAGCCTCACATGATACAAGACCACAGGCGATGGATATACACAAGACGGAAGAATGTTCCAAATGGAACTAAAGTATTCCATCTTCACAAATTGACCAGACAAAAAGAAGAGTCAAAGTCTACCTCTCAAATGGAGACTTAAACTCCAGATGCAGACAAATAATATTGAAAGGGGGAGATTGTCCACTAAGTCACAACGAGAAATATCACTTATCATCCACACTCTTAGAAGAACACATGAAATCATCAAAAACGTGAAAAGAAAAAAATGGACGAGCGCGAATTCACAAGTCAAAGTTGCGAGTATCAGAGCAAGTACACCTACTTTTTAGAAAAAAACAACACCTCTGAAGCTACATTCATGGAAAGAGAAAAGAAATACCTAGGTTATGATTGAAGTCAGACATAGAAGTGAACGAACGGTACAAAAGACTTCACATAACAGATTCGGCAAGCAAACATTTAATGCAAGATCAAATGCATTAAACACAAGATCTACGAAGCCTAAAAGAACTAAACAAGAACATCAGACGATGGTTGGTCAAGCAACAAAACTAGGTCTGATCAAAGAACATTCAACAAATATCAAACGAAAGGCCAAAACAAAGCTAAATCTAGAACAAGACAAAAGTGGGATGAAGTTCATACAAACATCAGATGAAGGCCAATGGTCAATTTAGATGAAGAATAGTCAAGGCTAGGCACATCATGAGAATCAGAAAAACCAAGCCATATGATAGATGAAAAAAAACACAAGCTCCAAACGATGACAAATCAAATATCAGACGAAGGTTGGTCAAAGATCAAAAGAAAGTCAACAACATATTAGACGAAGGACAACACAGACTAAAAAATGTTCCAGACTGAAACAAAGCCAGTCCATCTACAATGTTGACCAAACCATAGAAAGTCAAAACATTAAGGACTAATGCTCAGACGAAGAACAAGACTTGAGATGCATATGGAATACCAGACGCAGACGAAAATTGTCATGCAAGCATTTAAAGAATCAAGTCTCAAAGGACAAATCAGGAATCGTCTACGATCATATAAAGGCTCTCAATATGATTGCGTGATTAAAGAAAAAGAAGAAGAAGAAGAAAAGCACACAAAAACAAAAACATGCATGTGTTAGAAAAAATACATTAATTTTTCAGATAAGGACAACGCTCTATAGCTATGCAACCGGAAAAGGACAAAAAGGTTTCTAGGTCTTAGCTAAAGTCAGACACAGCAACTAACAAACATAGAGACTTCACGCAATGTCTACAAACAAGAAACAACATTTAATGCAAAATCTTAAGTATTAAATGAGAAGATCGAACTAGTCATGAACGACTATATTCTACTTCAACGGACATTTGCAACGGGCAAATTTTATAAGACTATATATAGATCATCACTTCAAACCTTGAAAGGTTGGCTTTGACATTGACAAAGAGTGATATCCAGCCCATAAAGTGAAGAAACCAGAGATAGAGCTTATAGAGTCAAATGTACCATAATGTATTCATTTCTATAGACTATGGAGTTCTAAGTATAACTTAGGAACATGAACCTTAGTGAGTGTAGTCATCTTTGTATCCTTTTTGTGAAAGTAAACCACACACTCAATCTTTGTAAAACTAAGGTTGCATATCTTAGTGAGTGTAGAAATTATTGTATCCTCTCTGTGAGAGTAAGCCAAACACTTAAACCAGACCATATATTCATCATTTGTAAAGTCTGAAGAGGCTAGGGAAAAAATACTTGTAAAAGCCTGGAGAGGCTTATCAAAGAATACTCACTACGAGTCAGAAGTGGCTGATTAAAGAATATTAGCGCTAATGGTGAAGTTAGCGGGCCAGGAGTTGGTCAACAATACTCACTGAGAGTTAGAAGTGGCTGAACAAAGAATACTAGCGTCGACGAGTGAAGTTGACGAACCAAGAGTGGTTGAGAATACTCGGGACCTGGAGTGGTCATGACCTAGGTGGTCTAGAATACTCACTACTAGCTTGAAGAGGCTGATTAAAGAATACTAGAGCCAATGAGTGAAGTTGGCTGACTAGGAGTGGTCGTGACCTGGGTGGTCTAGAATACTTATTGCTAGCCTGAAGAGGCTGATTAAAGAATACTAGAGCCACTGAGTGAAGTTGGCCGACCAGGAGAAGTCGTGACTTGGGTGGTCACTACAAGAAAATTGCGAATTAGAGAGGGAAAGATCCCTCGCAAATCCCTCGCTAAACAGAATAACGAGGGACTAGCGAGGGATTTGCGAGGGATCATTCCCTCGCTAAATTCAAGTCGCTAATTAGCGACGGATGCATATCCCTCGCAATTCCCTCGCTACATTCCTTCGCTTTTCCCTCGCAAATAGCTTCGCTAGTCCGTCGCAAATTTGTGCCGCTAATTCATCGCTATCGCCTCGTAAATGTAGAGCCTAAATTCCCTCGCTAATTACATTTAATATTTCCTCGCTAAAAGGTCGCAAAACCTTTGCAAATATGTCCTTCGCTAATCCCTCGCAAATATATCCTTCGCTAATCCCTCGCAAATATGTCCTTCGCAAATCCCTCGCTAAACCCTCGCAAATATGTCCTTCGCAAATCCCTCGCTAATCCCACGCAAATCCATCAAAGCATATGGATTGAGTTCCCTCACGAATACCACGCTAATCCCTCGCTAATATCTTGCGCAACCTTCCTAATTTATCTATATATATACATTATTCTCTCATGAATCCCTGTAGATATGGCACTTAATACAACTACATAATTTTTTTTCAATTCGACATGATTTAAAATAAAAGTTACATGTAACAATATCTCTTACAAAACCAAATTGTTAAATGTATTACAAAATCCAACTTGTGCATACTATCTTAAAGAAACCCAAACTAATTAATGTCTTACAAAAAGAAAAGTCAAATAACGATTCATCCTAAATAGTAATCAACCTAAGCTAGTAAAATCATTATCTCGTCCTTGATCCTCCCTATGTTGGTTGGTTGATGGTTTTGTTGATGGTTGAACTGCTTGAATTATTTGCCTCATCATCTCTGGTAATTGTGTTTGCAAAAAAGAGGTCAATGCATTATTTATAACTGTAGTGACCCGTTCTTCTGTCATAGGCGTAAGGTTTGTAGAGGAACCTGCAACCTCTGGAGATGAACCTTGGGTAGAGCTACTAGTTCCAAGATCCAAGTTATGTCCCATGCCATGCACTCTTTTCTTCTTGTTTTCACCTGCAACTTTTAACCAAAGATCAGAATCAATTGCAGGATGAGACCAAGTGTCTTCTCCATATTTTTGTGTCATTGATTTTTCATATGTTTCCTACAAATAATAAATAAAAAAAATAAGTGAAATAGCAAGAGGTTAAAAAAGTACATAATCAATCTTAAAATATAAAATAACATACAATAAATTTATTTGCCCTAGTTGAGACAAATTCAGCATCATTTTTTTTTGTGAACTTTGTTATACACTTTACGATAAGAACCTTTTAGTCTACAAAAGATTGTCAACGTATATAAGGATATATTTAATGAGAGGGTCTTTTGTATGCGAGTAAAAAGTAAATCACAATAACATTTGAAGTGATCAAGATTTAATATAATGTGTTGTGATTACTTTTTAAGTCATTTAAGTTTTTAAAAAACTTCCATGACTCTTATGCTTTAATGTTGACCATATCTAAGTTGATAAGTTTAAGTTTAACTACCCATTCTAGTTTTTAAGTAAGTATTTAAGTGTTTGCCCGATAAAAGTAGTTAACGATGATTGATACCAAGATGCATATGTGTTGTTGTGTTTTATGTTTTAGTTTCTATATTATTTTTACATTTTTGATTCATGTGTACAAATTTTGTTTTTATTTTTGTATGCTTTAAGTCTATCAAGATTTCTTTTCTTTTCTTTTTCCTTCTCTCATATCCTTTTTTTTTTCTCCTCGTCACCTCTTTCTTTTTATTTTGCAAATTCTATTTCCTTTAAATCTTTTTATATCAACTAATTTATGTTGATTCTAAATCAAAGAGTCTCAAGATTGTAAAGTTCAAATATGTTTCTTATATAAAATAAAGATGACATGCTAGTTTCAATTTGTGGTGACACTTTTTTTTTTGTATCGGTAAGGATTTCAACATCTTTTTAATCTTGTTATGTAAAACACTTTGATTTATCATTTAATTGTTTTTTAAGATAATATCATGTTTTCTCCAATCTCCAAAAATTGCATCCAACAACTATACTTAATAGAAACATTTTTGTTTTTAAAATTGACAATTTAACAATCATTAATTTTCTTTTTATGCTTTTATACTGAGTTTCGATTTTGTAGTAGTGTCAGAAAATCTATAGTTAACATAACTACATGACAATTGATAATAGAGATTAAAACATGAAAGAATTACTCAAATAATAGTGGCACAAATATTTGAACAAATCAATTTATTGATCAAATAAAGTTATAATTTCATTATCTTCATAATAACTGAAATGGAAAAATGATAAATATATATGTATATATAATCAAAAAATTAATCATAATGGAACTTTGTTATGCAAGTGAGTTTATATTTACAAAGAAAAATTAAAAGTGGCAGTGAGTAAATTTCTAAATAAAAAGATCACTAGTTTAGCTCCTGGGCCCGTTTAAAGGATTTCTTTAATGATAATGTTTAATTAGTCGACAATATGTTAGCTACTTATTATCCCTTGTTAGAATATGATTTACTGCAACAACCAACGTACCATTTTATCAACTAGCAATAGTAACAACAGAGTGAAAGACTGCATTAGAATATGGAAAATGGCACTTACTTTGGAAGCATCAAGAACCATCAGTACTATGTCTGAAGATTTAGCAACAGCAATAACCTGAGAGAATCAGAGAAAATTCAGAAAACAAAAGTCCTGCGCTGTTAATAATAAGGAAGCCATGCTTTCCAAAGCATTCAATGAAAAGAACCAAACATCACATTCTACTCGGGACAGAGATATACTTATAACTCATTAGCGAGGGATTTGCGACAAGAAAACTCCCTCGCTAGATGAAAAATTCGTTTTTATATTTTGGCTCATAATTTAGCGAGGGATTTGCGAGGGCCTAAGTTCCTCGCTAAATAAGCACTAGCTTTAGCGACGGATTTGCGAGGAGATGAAGGTTGGTCGCAAAATGATCCTATTTAGCGAGGGATATAAATCCAAGCTATTTCCTCGCTAATTAGCGAGGGATTAGAGAGGAACTGTATTCCTCGCCAATCCCTCGCTAATTAGCGAGGAAATAGCTTGGATTTATATCCCTCGCTAAATTCCCTCGCTAATCCGCGAAATTCTTGTAGTGGGTCTAGAATACTCACTACGAGCCTAAAGAGGCTGATTAAAGAATACTAGCGCTGATGAGTGAATTTGACAGGCTAGAAGTGGTCGATAATATTATATGTACTTCATTGAATATCTAGTGGAACCTTTCTATTGAAGGAGACTGGACGTAGCTCAATTTGAACGAACTAGTATAAAACACCTTGCACTTCCCATCCACTTATTAGACGCAAATTTTGTTTAGCTAATTTATTATATTGAAAGCTTCATCTACTGCTTATTTCTTAATGCAACTATCTTCATACGGAACCCACACATGTTTAATTTATTATCTTAAAGAACGATTTTCGTTTAAGAAGCATTTTCCCTGTGCAGATGATAAACTCCCAGACGCAAAAGTCTTTTGTTAAAACTGACCCTCCACAGTTCTAGTTTAGCATTCAAAATTATATTTCATTAGACGAAGAAGAAATCCCTTGCGAAAACGTTTTTAAAATTTCTGTGTTCACACACACACATATTCAACCCCCTTCTATGTGTTTTTCTACTAACCTCAATTGGTATCAAAGCTTGACCCCTTGGGTTGAGGAATTAGCATTGCAGGGGTAGAATATGATTCATAGAAGAACGAAGGACAAATGGAAGTTGAAGATCAAGCAAGACGAACAATTGGTATAGGTAAACCCAGTATCAATTCATTTACTTCAATAAAATGTGTTCTATATGTTATAAGAGTATATCACATCTAATATATTAGGATATATATATATATATATATATATATATATATATATATATATATATATATAC